CTCAGGTCATGATCTCATGGTACATAGTTCAAGTCCCATGTCGGGCTCCACACTGACGATGCAGACCCTGCTTGGGATTCTCTCTCTGTCCCTCCTCCTCTCTCTCTGTCTTCCTCTCTCTCTCTCTCTCTCTCTCTCTCTCTCTCTCTCTCTCTCTCAAAATAAACTTAAAAAAATTACTTGGTGTAATTGAATATGTGGAATGAGAGAAAAGAAAGAATCTCAGAATGTTAAAATCATGTTCCATAGTGTAAATCAAATGCTATAATATTTACGTATTCAAAGAATCCCATGCTACCAAAATCTGTAAAATGATGCCGAAGAAATCGCACAAAACATCAGATGAGTTTCTTGCCAGTGCGATGTGTGATGCCTTTATAGCTAAGGAGAGAGATGGCTTGGCCATGGTCATTCAGCAGTCCCTCAAAATGTGTGACGTGAAGCCCACTCTGATATGGTTGGGCCTTTCTAAGGCAGCACTCTCTAGGGGTGCTGTTTACTCACTGTGCCCACCCTGAACATCAGAACTTTGGCTGCAAGTATCAGGTGTCGTCTTTCCCGCCTCAATATACTCTTAATAACTGTAGGAGTTTCCCCTACTACATAGGACTTTGTAGATAAAATATGAAGGACAAATTGCAAGCGGCTGAAACCACAAAATAGAACAAGAAGTATATATGAGAAACTTGATCCTAAATTGAACCCATAATAACATTCAGTGAAGTTTTGATCTTAGCTTCAAGTTTCTCTTAGCCAAGTGTACCTACAGAACCTCCTCTGTTCTGTTCTCTCTTTGTTGTTCTTAAGATGCCAGGTTCTTTTGACTCTTTTCTTGTGTTTTGTGCCATTCTTTCAATTGCAGGGCTGTTGATATGGTCGCTTCCTTGTACATGCCCTTTTTTAAATCTTTTTGCAATCTTTGAATTTTTCCATCAGTATAGTCTCTGCCAATGGGATTTCTAAAGGAAGCTGCTGTGTTCAGTTCTCATTGCTAAATACTTACAACCCATTAGCTGCTCTTTGTTTTTGTAGCCCATGAACCCTCTGTGTGCTGCCCCTTGGTAGTAATGAGGTGGAGGGGGGTGGGAGGTAGGTATGGAGTGGGGTGCCAGTCAGGTGTTATATTTTGCCCCTTTTGACTAGCTTCACTTTCAGATTGGGTGTAAACTGAAAACACATCTCTCCTTTGGACAGAAATGTTACCCTTTCTTTAACAACATTAAACATAATCTTTGGCTGTAGCCTCTCAGGAACTTTTCTGATTCACTATTTTATGCTCACAAATTATGTGGTACACAAAAAAGCTTCATAATACATTTGGCCATTGTTGAGGTTAGAAGGGTTTGTATATTACTCTTTCTCCTCCCCACCTAAATTCTGAACTGATTGACAGAGACACATGAGTCAGGAAAAGGAAGGTCAAAATTTTAACTCTATTACTGATAGGGTTGATGAGGAGTATGTCTTTGGAGGAAAGACAAGTAATGACAACCTACTGACACCTAGTCCTTTGGACAGCTTGACAGAGAGGAAGTCTGAATCCTTAGTGCAGACACATTAACCCAAGCCATTGGCTGCCCCCTCCTCCCAGGTAATTCCTTCCACCACCATGTTGAAGAATAAAGGGGTGGCGGGTGAAAAGTCCAGATAAACACTCTTTCGTGGAGACCAGGCAATGAATTATTCAAGACAGATATGTTTTCTAATGATGTTTTAACAGTAGTTCTAAGAAAATAACAACGACTGACCATAACAGTGTCTAACAACTGACTTCTGAACGGTGGAAAATTAATTTCTTCCTTTAAGATAATGTCAAACACAGTAGGAATTTTTAAAAATCAGGAAAGTTAAAGTTTATTCCCCCGTCTATGAACGAACATGATGAACGTTGTAATTAGGTGCAAACTTGTGATAATTCCACTAATGATCTATTCAATTTAGCAATATATGATTCAGAGGGTTGAATTTTTTTTTTTTTAAGTTGTCACATGCTGTTAGTTATCCCTGCCTTTCCTCCACCGCATTCCTCCACCTTCCAATAGTGGTAAAGTTATATCCGGCTACACAGCCACCCCATGAAAGAAACCCTTACCCAGTCTTTCTTACAGTGAGAGGTAACCATGGAAATATGTTCTCAGCAATAGAATGGCAGAGTATAAGTGACACCTGCAATTCCAACCTCATTTGCTTAAAGGAAATGCCTTGCTCTCCACTTTCTTTCCTCTTCTTGGGCTGAGATACTGAGATGATAGAGACCAGTGGCATCAGGGACCCTTAATAAACTAATGGACCAGAGCCTTTCTACCAGCTTAGACTGGCTGGACTTTAAGATGAGAGAGACACACTTCTGTCTTTTTTAGGCCACTGTGTTTTTTGAGTCTCTTTTTAATGTCAACCTAACATTTGTAGCAACTAGACAAATATTTACACCTAGTTTTAAAAGTGTTGAAATATTCAATAGGAAGAAATCTGTACAATGAACTATTGTAGTGGGTTGAACGTGAGCTTACTTGGAAAAAGAAGAATTATGTTAAAGATCTCGAGGTGAGATCATCCTGCATTAATTGAGTGAACCCTAAAGCAAATGACACATGTCCTTATAAGGGACAGAAGAAGAATATAGAGGATAGGGAGGCCATGTGAAGATAGGGAGGGATTCAAGGAATGCATCTACAAGCCAAAGAAATTCCAGAGCTTCCACAAGCTGGAAAAGGCAAAGGAGGATTCTCCACCTTCAGAGGGATCATGACCCAGCCTGTACCTTGAATTCAGACTTCTGGTATCCAAAACTGTGAAAGAGTAAATTTATGTTGTTTTTAAGCCACCCAGTTTGTGGTGATTTGTTACAGCAGCCCTAGCTATCTAATAAAATTTGATAATGATTTTTAAGAAAATAATTCATAAATCCAACACCCAAAGGAGAGCATTTTGGTGTATTTCCTACCACAGCTATCTAATAAAATTTGATAATGAAGTTGGAGAAATTCAAAAATCCTTTTTTGTTTTGTTATGCAATACCAAAAGGAGCATAGAGCACTAATATGAAAGTGGTTCATTCATTCCTTTGTAAGACACCTTCTTATTGCCTGAGGTATATCAGCCACTGAAAGGTACAGAGTATATAAAGATCAGAGAGACATGGTCCCAACCTTTAAGATGTTCATAGTCCTTGGAAAGGAGATATGTATGTGGACAACACTGTTTAATTTGTTAAAAAAAAAAAAAAAACTAAAAGGAAAGAAACTTTTTGTCACAATTATAGACTACTCGGCAACAAGAAAACCAACCACGGAGTTTTGGGGCAAATATGTTTGACCAACTAAGAAAGTCAGATATTCCGTTTGTTCCACAGCAATCATTCTGTCGGGGGAATATGACAAAAACTGTATTAATAATGGTCCTTGTATTTGTAAAGCTTTCACTTTATAAGTTGGGATTATTATGGATTTGGATTCCTGTTTTTTGTATCTTTATTAACTTAAAAGTAAGTTTATGGAATACCATTCTGTTCTAACTAGTGAACGTCTCCAATTTAGAGTAAGTTTTAAAAATCTATTTCAGGGTGCCTGGGTGGGTCAGTCAGTTATGCATCTGACTCTTGATATCACCTCAGGATGCAATCTCGTGGTCATGAGATTGAGCCCCATCGTTGGACTCCAGCTCCGTGCTGGAGCATGGAGTCCGCTTGGGATTCCCTCTCTCCCTCCCTCTCTGCCCGTCACCCAACCAGTAAATAAATAAATGGATACATAAATAAGTGAACTTTAAAAAAAATCTACTGAATGCAGAGAATTTTTCTAGAGTAAAGAGAATTGTTCATAATTCCTTCTCACATCCCCAGTTTATGAAATTCACTTTTTATATCTGGCAACCCCATAAATTAGGATCTATTTCAAAATTATGTTCAAAACAACAAAAATTGCCCTTATGATCACGTAGGAAGAATGCATTGAGTATTATTTCTTGGACTGAATTTAGACTTTGGTATGAACAATGCAAGGCTCTCCCCTATGTAAGTAAACTATTAAACAATATGGAATCTATTGTCTAAGTTACCTCTAAATTTTATTATGGAACCAAAGATCCTTACTAGATTCTTTTTTTTTATTATTGTTTATTACTTTTGAGAGAGAGAGACAGAGACAGAGACAGAGACAGAGACAGCAAGCAGGGAAGGGGCAGAGAGAGAGGGAGACATAGAATCTGAAGCAGGCTCCGGGCTCTGAGCTCTCAGGACAGAGTCCGATGTGGGGCTCGAACTCACCGTGAGATCATGACCTGAGCTATAGTCAGCCGCCCAACCGACTGAGCCACCCAGGCGTCCCCCTTATTAGATTCTTTTATTGGGAAGGACATCTTCCTTAATAACTCCCACTGTCTTCAACGTGATGTAGGTAATGTGAAAATCTGATTCTACCCTCTCTCCTAGTACTTTAATGTTTCATATCATTTTTTTTATTTTTTATTTTTATAAGTTTATTTTTGAGAGAGAGAGAGGGCACAGGTGGGGGAGAGGCAGAGAGCAAGGGAGAGAGAGAGAGAGAGAGAGAGAGAGAGAGAGAGAGAGAGAGAGAGAAAATCCCAAGTAGGCTCTTCACTATCAGTGCAGAGCCAGACATGGGACTCAAACTCATGAACTATGAGACCATGACCTGAGCAGAAACCAAGAGTTGGAGGCTTAATCGACTGAACCACTCAGGCGCCCCTCATTTTTTATTTTGACTCACTTCCTATTTTTCACTCAGTGCCTAACTTGTGTGATATCTCCTTTTATAGTAGGCAGACTTATCTTGGACACACAAAATGTATATTTACTGTGTAGCAAGCATATACTGAAAATAAGTATGCATAAAAGTACTGGAAGGAAATACACCAAAATGCTCTCCCTTGGGTGTTGGATTTACAAATAATTTTTTTTTTAATCTCTTCTGTGATTTCTGTCCTAACCTTCTATAATAAAAATTTAATTGATTTTGATGTTTGTTTATTTGCAATTTAAGGTATCAACTTCCATTCTCCAAATGGTATCCATTCTACAAATGGAAATAGGAGAATGCAGTGTGGTCTCTGTCGCTCATGCTCAGTGAACACAGCTGAGTCCAAAGTTGTCTTTCCGGGATTAGATGGCGAAGGTGGAGTATCCCTTGTGAGGAATTCCTACTAAGGAATCTCTGCCTAGGCAGCTTGCGGGGCAAGAGTAGGTGCTGAGTTGCTCTCCTCACCAGTGCACGAGGCATGCAGGTAAAAGTAAACAACATTCTCAACAGTTTACTCAGTCCAAATTCATTTTAAGTAAAATATTTACGACATTCAGAAACTATAGTCCCAACAGAAAACAAAAAACAAAAACAAACGGCATCACTGACGTACTCAAATTTAGCTTAAGTTCTGAAAAAGGTAACGAAATGACATTTTCATTTAAATACCTAGGTATTTGCTATAATCTTAGAATGCCATATGGTGGTTACTAGTTTATCAGGTAGAAACATCGAGCATATTTGTATATATTTGTAGGTGCATAGCATTTTAATGAATTGTCTTTTTTTTTTTTTTACTACTAAAATTCTGTATACAGCTCATCTCAGTACTATTGGTTTTGATAATATAATGTTTGATAAACTGATACAACCTTTGGGAAAGGGTAACATGAGATGCCTTGTTCTTTTAAAGAAATTTTTTTTAATGTTTATTTTTGAGAGAGAGAGAGAGACAAAGCATGAGAGAGAGACACACACAGAATCCGAAGTAGGCTTTAGGCCCTGAGATGTCAGCACAGAGCCCAGTGTGGGGCTTGAACCCACGAGCCGTGAGACCATGACCTGAGCCAAAGTTGAACGCTTAACTGACTGAACCACCCAGGCGCCCCAGGAGATCCCTTGTTCTATGAAATTAAAGCAGCCAGGAGCACCTTGGTATTTTAAACACCTACTCAGGTAACAGCCAACAACAAAATCAGTTTTGTGCTGATGTTGCTGTTTCTTCGCTCTGAGTAAGATTGTTGTTTGACTCAAAGCCATTTTGCTTCTTGGAGTGAATCTTCTTTCATATTTTTCATCCAGGTTTTCATATGGATGTTTTCAAATAAAATATATAAGTAGAAAAATATGAAACCAGCCAGGGGTTCAGTTTCAACCTCAAAACACAAAAAGAGAAAAAATCAAACGTGGCAAAGAATAAAGTTGTCCTGTGTTTCTAAGACTTAAAACATTCACTTATAAAAACACTCATATTCTCAGACAAACAGAAAAATATTGCCCCTAGTGAAACAGTGTTGGCTATTATATGAAATACAGTCAAGTGAAACGAGAAATAAGGGCAAGCATAGACAGATACTAAAGAGAAACTTCATTGTGTAAATGTCCTCAGAAATGAACTTGGAAAAACATACCTCCCTGGGTATAAATATTTCAGCTGAGTTTAGGCAAAGGTGTAATCTATTGAAGTCAGCAGAAATCATGCCTTCATACAGTTCTGGCTAGAATATGGTTTTTTAATGATCACTAACATCTCATAGAAAGGTCTATATAAATTTTTTGTCTTAATTACTTGAAGCAGGAGCTCCTGTTTCCATGGTGAGCTTTTCCATGAATTAATATTTTGAAATACCCATTTCCTAAAAATGAGGGGATGATCATTATTTCAGTTGTAAACAATTAGTTGCATTATTTTCTTTTGCAAAGCTGCCTTGCAAATATTGTTTGAGCATGTTAGCATAATACCAGGTAACCTCATGTTATGTTTTAGTAATGTCTGCGTAGACATTTCATTTATGGGAGATATTTCATCTGTCCATCATGGGTCAACCTATTGGTAAACTGTGCTTATTTGAAATCTTCTGTTTAAAAAAAATTGTTTTTAAATTTTAATTTAGAGAGAGAGAGTGCATGCAGGGGAGAGGGGCATGGGTTGGGGAGGGGGTGAGAGAGAGAGAGAGAGAGAGAGAGAGAGAGAGAGAGAGAGTCAAGCAGGCTCCATGCTCAGTGATGAGCCTGACAGGAAGCTAGATCATGACCCTGGGATCATGACCTGAGCCAAAATCGAGAGTAGGCCACTCAACCAATGGAGCCACGCAGGTGCCTCTGAAGTCTTCTGTTTTTAGCGTAATGATTTATCTAACTGACTTTGGGAGTCTGTAAAAGAACAAAAATGGTTTGGGATTAAACACAGTCCATATCATCACAAAGAGAGAAAATGCGTTATAAAGAATAAACTAAAGCAGTTTTAGCACATCAGCTTGATGAAGGCCGTCTGCTTTTGTTGCCTGCATAAATTGCCTTCTTTAACTTACTTATCTGCAGATGCTGCCACGGAGTCTCAGCTCTATGCAAGACCAGCCCTGATCATGCCTTAAAACAGTTTGAATCAAGCTGGCATTTTCCCCCGCAAAAGTTCAGCAAGCATTAGAATATACCAGTCAGAACACAGAAGAGAAATACAACCTGGAGACGCAAAATTCAGAAGGCACCAGCATTTTAATGGTTAGTAAAGCCATGGCAATGGGTGGGATCATCTAGCAAAGGGAGTAGAAAAATCTTTATCAGCTGTCTACAATTCATGTGCTTTCTAAATAAACACAACGCCTTTACATCATAACTGAGAATCCTAGCAATATCCACATTATTCCAGCTTTAGTTTTTGTGGTCTGTATTATGAAACTAATATTTTTGCCTCTTTTTCAAAACACTGTAAAATTTGGGGCACCTGGGTGGCTCAGTCGGTTAAGTGTCCGACTTCAGCCCAGGTCACGATGTCGCAGTCTGTGAGTTCGAGCCCCGCGTCAGGCTCTGTGCTGACAGCTCAGAGCCTGGAGCCTGCTTCGGATTCTGTGTCTCCCTCTCTCTCTCTGCCCCTCCCCTGTTCATGCTCTGTCTCTCTCTGTCTCAAAAATAAATAAAAACATTACAAAAATTTTTTTTTAAAAAAACCACTGTGAAATTTAATACACATTTCCACATTATACGTGCAAACTCCCTGATGAATAAGGAGAGCAGCTAGTAACTCAACTAAGGGAATAGCCATGGCTCCTGTCTACCTCCCAGCCTTTCTAGAAACAGCAGATGAAACTATCTGGGCAGATATCTTTGAGACTCAGTATACAAAAGTCAGAATTTACAGGATGCTCTTGCAAGCAGCAGGTAATATCCGTTTCTAAACATACGTGCAATGAGAAGTCTTGAGCATTGGTTTTTGGAAACCCGTGTGGCGATTGGTAGTTCCGTTCATCACCCAATTTCAATGTGGCCGCAGTGTGACTCACAGTAGACCTGATTTTATTACCGGTATTCAAATAATTTGTGTTTCTCTTAACATTTGATAGCTCTCGAATTCGAAACCCCAGAAAACAGATGAACAGGTGTGTGTACTAGCATGGGCACCCTTTGTTCAGTGTGGGCGGTCTTGGGTTCACCGTCAAGATTTGTTGAACTCCATGGTCTGGTTTGTAAATGTTTTATTGGTCTGTATACCCTCTTATCAGGGCCTTTACTGACACCAACACCAGTAGACTGTATTCTGCAAACAAAAATAGCATTTTTACTTCTAATCAGTTTTTCCTGCTTACGTTGTTTAGAAATTCGAGTGAGTCAGGGTACTATTTAATGATGTTTTGCCGGACAGTACCAAGGATGTCCCTGAAATTGCCTCAAGTAATTATATCCTCCCCAATACTTCTGAGAGGTATATTCTCATAAAGCAAAATCAGGGGCAAAAATAACCAAACAACAACAGTGAAAAATTTTATTAGTTGGGAATTTGGCTTCAAGCCACAGTACAAAGCTCTAGTAAACTGGGCCGAACACATGAAAGGCTTCTTTTTCTTAAGCTTGTTTGGCCTAAATAGCCTCAGGCGAAAGCAGGCTCCTAGGATTGCTCTCTCTTCCTTTCAAGCTTCAAAGGCAGCCAGCCCTGAGACTTCAGTGAGCACTAATGGAAATGGAGCGAAAGCCAAAGAGGACCCTGTTAGCTCCCCTGTGTGTTGCTGAAGTAAACTTTGTTGGGCCCCAAACTTAGGGAGAGGATAACCTTTCTGTGCCCCCCCCCCATCCTGCCAGCAACAGAGAGGCTTGCAGTGACCTATAGCCTCTTGGAAAACTGTGCCCTTGAAAAAAGCAGCTTAATTAGTATTCTATGATCTGCCAGTGCAATCAACCCTCCTCCCTCCTCTATCCTTAAAGTGGGATAAAGAATGTGAATGTGGAATGGTGTTTTATGCCTAAGGAACAACAAAACTATTTCAAGTAATTGAGTACATTTCTTAAAAGAAAGCAACGTCTTGTTGCCTTCTTGTCTTCTGTTAGAGCTTTGATAAAAAGAGGCTCTTTTGGGACCCCCCAAGTCTGTGAAAAATAAATCAGCCATCTTCTGATGCCTTGGGGACCAGTGGAAAAGTGTAAGCATACACACACGCACATTCTTTACAATAAGTCTCTGGCATTAACCCAGAGCCCTAGTGAGCAAGGCTGAGTCATAGATTTCTACAAGGACTCCTTTTGTGCTGTTGGCCTAAAGCCTAGATAAAAAGAAAGCAAAGAGGTCTCTTTGACTTCTCTGGCCTAGGCCTACACTCGAATTTTTGCTTTAAGAGTCTTGCTACTTTGTTAATAGTAAGAAGGGAGGAAAGAAAAGTTTAATAAAAAGAGCACCGAGGGTAAAAGAATTTTTTTCTCTTACACTTAGAGATGATCTTACCTGAGTTACCAAGTCCTAGGCCATTCAACACCGGGGAGGGTATATGTGTTGGGGGGCATTTTAAGAAAAAACCAGGTGAAAGGACACACTGGTTGAGGCAGAGCAGTGAAATTGAGATTCTCACAGAACCCTGAAGATGCCAAAGTCAGAGCTATTTACTTATCTTCAAATCTCTGAAGTCTTCTGCTACTGGCTGACCGGCTTTACTTCTTCATTATAACTTCCCTCAGCTTCTCCTCTTGAGACGCTCGTCAAGTTTTGTTGTTCTTCCACAGCCATCTTTTCCTAGATTGGAAGCTTCCTAAGGGCTGAGACATGTTTGTCTTATTCTCTAGCACTTAGTAGGCACTGAGTAGACTTTTTTTTCCCTATTGAATAACATTTACATTGTGCCCTTGACTATAACTTTTATTCAGAGCAGCATTGAGAAGGGTATTTCAGGTGACTGTTTCTTCACCTCCTCCAAAGAGTAGTGTTTAGCCAACATTAACTCAAGAGATATTATCATGTGAATAAATGATGAGGTTGGGGAAATTAAATCTCATACGTATATGTTTTGTTCATTGCTGACCCCTCAGACTGGGATTTATGTGTCCTTAACCCCATGGCCATCCTCCTTTCATAGACCTCTAATAATTTCTTCATAAAAATTTGCATTTCAACTGGACTGTAAACTCCAGGAGTTGCAAGAGACTACTCTGCTTTGCTCACTACTGAATTCCTAGCACCCATCACCTGGCCTAGCCTGTATTTAATAAGCATCTGTTAAATGAATGGATAAAACATTCAGGAATTTTTTTCCAGACACTGATCATTAACAGTAAAGCTACTTTACCCACTGGATCGCCTCCATGTTTTTAGTCACAGACCATCAGAAGACTAACGTGTATGCTATCTATTGGAGTGACTGTAGCCATTGATGTTCAAGATGATTTTAGGCTTATGCTTCAGCGGTTCTTATATTTCATTAGAAAGACAAAGGAAAAAGAAATATCACTATAGCTGAAATACATTGTAAAAGATATCTGAAACTCAGCTCTAAAACACACACCTCTAACTTGTGACATAAGGTAGCACACAGATCTGTACCCAATCTGGCAGTATAATAGCTTTTACTGCATAAAAGTTTGTATATATGTTAATGATGGTAGAACCCATTTTTGAATTTACATGTGGTCCACAAGTAACTCTTGGTTCAAAGTGGTGTTTCTATTTCAGATAATTTTAATGAAGTCCACTTACTTAAGGTACCCTATATAAAGCACTTTTTAGTGTTTAAGTATAGATACCAAAATGACTATTAATTTCTTGAGTTACTGAATTTCCAGCAAATTATACCTTATGTATAATCAAGAAGTAGAACTTAAAAAGTCCATTTCTGTTTCTGCCTCATACATATTATTCTATTTCTTTAAGGAGGAAAATGAAGAGAGTAGGAGACAGTGATAATATCTTATTAATACACTATGTGCTTTTAAAAAATATACTTACCGTATTTCATATTAAGTACCTCTTAATGAACATTGTCAAAATAATAAAGACCTAAGAAGTCAAAGCAATCTAGACAGACTCGTTCTGAGAAAAAGTTGTTAATGAAACATAATATTTAGTCCAGGAAAACTCAAGTTTATTCAATAAACATCTAAATGTAATTTATTTCCATAAGGAACAGCTGTATGGAGGAGGGATAAAAGCAGGAGAGAGGAAAAAGGAAAACACAAACCAAAAAATAATAAATTTCACACAGAAATGAAGGAACAGAGGGTGAACACCTGAGAGGAGTAAAGTACTGTTGTGACACCTTGCCAGTCACTTGGGCTGTAAAATTCAGCATGTGACACAATTTCCCATGCCTTTTGAAGTACTAATTACATGATTAAGTACTCTTAACCTTGACCCTGGAAGCTCCAGGAGCTTTCATTCATTATTCATTAATGGGGTTTAAGACTGTTCTACTCTGGAGATACAAAGACTGTGCCTTCCAGGAATATGCAGTTGATTAGAGGAGACAGAAAGGTAATGAGGGGATGCTAATCTGGTTTAATATGTACTATAATACTGGAAATGCTATTTTCTTGTGTGTGGCAAAAGCATACTAGGAAAATGCTCCAAAAACTCCGTCAGGTTTTTTATATGTCAGATCCTAAAATGGCATTTCAGGACTTTTTTTTTTTTTTAACTGGTGTTGGTTGCACTTAAAATATGTATCCTATAGCAATGATACTTAAAATTATTTTATAGCCTCCTATATAATAAAATTAATACAGTTTTAGTCAGATTTTGTGTCAAGTCACTGTAAAATTTTTATCTTCTCCCAGAACTAACACAGGACCAGCCTTCTTCACACCTCACATCACAGAGTAAGTGGAGAAGAAAACTGAGAAACAATGAATTTAGCATTTATTATCTTGCTTTAGAATAGAATTATGGTGGGGCGCTTGGCTGGCTCAGTCGGTGTAGTATGTGACTCTTGGTCTCAGAGTCATGAGTTTAAGCCCTGAATAGAGTTTACGTACAAAGTAAAAAATAGGGGAGCTTGTATGGCCCAGTTGGTTAAGTGTCTGACTCTTGGTTTTTGGCTTCAGTCATGATCTCGAGGCTCAGGTCATGATCTCACAGTCGTGAGATGGAACCCCAAGTCAGGCTCAGCATAGAGTGTGGAACCTGCTTGGGAATCTTTCTCTCTGCCCCTCCCCTCCTCATGGTCATGTGCTCTGTCTCTAAAAATAAATAAACTTAAAAAAAAATAGAATAGAGTTATGGTTAAAATATGTTTAAATGATAACTCCTTTGAAGCTGCCCCAGCTTTTTCTGAGTCTAGGGTGTTGGGTATGTATGTGGTTCTGTGGGGGTTGGGCAGTGTTGCTATAGGGAATTCTATGTAGCATTGAACACCATTTTGTTACTTTTGTTTATGTGATAGATCATGGTGATCACTTTGATCTAAAATTAGGTAAAGTTCTGGAAGCTTCAAAAATGTATTTCCATTATCTAATCTGGGCTGAGCAAATAGTCTATGCAAAGGCTACTCCAAGTAGTTTCTTGTGGAGGATGTGGTTTGGTAGGTTGCAGGTGGGGAATACCCAGGGATAGCCAGAGACAAGCAGGAGCAGAGTCATGAAGGACCTTATATATTATGTGAGGAAACTTAGACTTTATTGTGAAGTTAAGTTATTTTCCATCCTGATGGTATTTCACAATCTAGTAGAGATTTAGACAGGGTCCTGCTACCTAATTTATCTTAAGTATATGTTAGCATTAACTACTCTAAAACAAAAATCTCAATTGGGTTGATGTTCTCTCCCCTCCTCTGATGGAGGCCATGTTACCTGTCAGAGGTGAGGTAAGTGGTGATTATGTCAGGATTCTGAGGAAAGTATTAACGATTCCCAGTGGATGTTATGGGGAAACGGTGAGGAGGGAACAAAAAAACAATTGCTGAACAGAGGCCATAAATTTGTAAGGAAGTCAATTTGTTCATTGCATTATTTTTCTCTAGGAGTCTCCAGCCTCATAGAAGCATAGAAGGCAAATTTTTGGAAGATTGGGAGTTTGGTGCAAGGGTGCAGCTGGAATTATTAGAAACAAAAGATACGGTCAAGAGCAGTTACTTTATAATTGTTGACTAATATTTAGGATTTAAATCATGGTTGAGAACAATCGCTCCGGCAGTGGTACGAAGGATCCTTATCCCTGCCAGAACAGAAAGCCCAGGCGCCGAAGCAGTAGGTACAGATGAATATGGATGAGGTCTGGACCTACATGAGGTAATGATAACAAAGGAAGAAGGGGTTGGTTTGAGTGTAATTTTTATATAGAATTAAATGAGATTTTTAAAGAAGTCGGTGAAATGGGAGATGATTCGCAGGTTCCTGACCGGGGTGACTGGGGAATGTTAATGTCCAGGTCGAGGTAGAAGCTAATGAATTTAGCTCGGACATGCTGAGTTGAGGGGCATCCCTGGAAAGATATCTAGTAATTGGGTATTTGGTATGATGCTTAGGAGAGAGAGCTAGGCTAGTGGTGTAATTTGGGAATCATTGTGTATTGGTGATTAGTATATTGGTGATTTAGACGCTTACCCAAGGAGTGTGTGTGTAATGAGGGAAGAGAAGATCAAAGACGAATTCCAGGGGAATACCAACATTTACAGAGTGGAAAGAATGAAGACACTTCTTAAGGAAATAAAAAGAAACAGAAATGATTGTCATGGAAACCTTGGAGGGGCGAAGACTTTCAAAAAATAGAGTGGTCAAGGATATTAATCTGTGAGGGGTCAAGTGAGATAAAGACTGGCTAACATCCATTTAATTTGGAAATTAGTAAGAACAATTTCAGTTAGTGGTGGTAGCAGAAATCAGATTCCTGTGGGTTGAGGAGTGAACAGAAAATGAAGAATTGAATTCAGAGTACTCTTTCAAGAGGCTTATTTATGAAGGTAAGAGCAGACATTAAACTACAGCTAGAAGAGAATCCAAGGTTGAAAGAAGTTTTTCTTTAAGATGGGAAAGATATGGGTTCATTTGCTTGTGGAGGGGAAGTCAGTGGGAAAAAAATCTTAGAGAAAAGCAAGAGGGAAAAATCTATGCCACAGAAATTAGTATGAGCAGAGATACAGCATGGAGCTTTGGAGGGGGGATTGGCTTTAACACAAGATTTAGACTGGTGGGTGGTAGAGAACTGGGGATTTTAGAAATGCATTGATATCCAGTTTAGTTTAATTGCACTCAGATGCGTGATTTCCTCCTTGGAGAGAATGCATGCCAGGCTGTCTCCACTCCTTCACTCACACCACCTCAGGAGAGGTGGAACTAATAACATACTTAGTAAATTTGATTAGAACAACTGAGCATTAGAATACTTGGCTGAGGGGCGCCTGGATGGCTCAGTCGGTTAAGTGTCCAACTTCGGCTCAGGTCATGATCTTGCGGTCCATGAGATTGAGCCCCGCGTCGGGCTCTGTGCTGACAGCTCAGAGCCTGGAGCCTGTTTCAGATTCTATGTCTCCCTCTCTCTCTCTGACCCTCCCCCATTCATGCTCTGTCTCTCTCTGTCTCAAAAATAAATAAACATTAAAAAAAATTAAGAATACTTGGCTGAATTCCAGCCACCCTTCCTTTTGGGAGCAATCTGCCTACAGAGAGAATATGTTCTCCTGCTCCTTCAAGGGCACACTCTTCCCCACCAAAAGGAAGAGTTGCCTTGGTTCAGTGCTGCCTTAAACTTGATGATGTGTGTCTCCTCCTGCAATTCAGCATTGTAAAGCTCCTGTGGTTAACGTACACAAAACCATATCCTCCACCCTGGACTTTGTAAGTAATAAAGATAATATTTTGGTCTCTGCTATTCCTTTCTTGCATTTATCTAGTAGATTAGTGCTGGATGAGAGAGAAGAGTATAATCTTTGTGTCAGTTAATCATTTACTCATCAAAGGTAGCACTGCCTACATGAGTATGGAAGACAGCTAGTTGCCCCCCACAGTCTGTTCTTCCATTGTTATTTGGATTTGGTTGCCCAGGTAGAGTCTGTGTTTCCCAGCCCCCTTGCATCTAGGTGTGGCCAGAGGACTTAGTGCTTCTGTGGAAAGTGATCAGCAGTAATGAGTGTAATTTCCGCACCACTTGATTAAAAGGAAATTACTTTCCCTCTTTTTTTGTCTGGGACCTTAGATATGGCTAAGGTCTTACACCTTAGATATGGCTATGAGCCAATTTGACTTCGTAGGGGAGGAATGAGCCCTAAGGATCAGCAGAACATTTAATATGGAGGGAATCTGCGTTGTTGAATACCCTTATAGAGAAGGATTGACCCACTAGGCTACATTGGACTATTACAGGACAGAGAAATAAACATTTACCTCATTTAAGTCATTGTATATTTGGGACTTTTTCTGATAGCAGCCTAGCCTTTACCTTAAAAGCCAGGATTGAGTTGTTAGAGCCTTAACCAACTGAGCCATCCAGGCACCCCTCCATCTACCTCTCCGGATCTTAAAATATTATTTAAGTGTCCGACTTCAGCTGAGGTCATGATCTCGTGGTTCACAAGTTTGAGCCCCACGTCAGGCTCCGTGCTGACAGCTCAGAGCCTGGAGTCTGCTTCGGATTCCGTGTCTCCCCTTCTCTCTGCCCCTCCCCCACTTAATGCTCTATTTCTCTCTCTTTCAAAAAGAAAAAAATTTTTAAAGATCCAGAGTGGTAGTTGGAATTTAACCTATTAAAGTCTTTAGCTATGAACTAGACCACTGGCATATAGATAATATATGCCAGTTTCTTACATAAATGAATAAAATAATTTCTTTTGTTTTATTTATTTACTTTTAAAGAGAGAGGGAGAGAGAAAGAATCCCAGGTGGGCTCCATACTGTCGACACAGAGCCCAATGCAGGGCTCGAATTCACACACCATGCGATCATGACCTGAGCCGAAGTCAGACACTTAACTGACTGAGCCACACAGGTGCCCCAGAAGAGCATAATTTCTAGTTTTAAAAAAAATGTGACAACCATGGATATAATGTTAATATGTTCCAAGAATGGTAGGTGAGACAGAAAGCTCTGTTTGTGCTTGTACGTCCCAGAAAGCAGGCTAAATAAACTTACACTCATTCAAATTCTGTTTATTTGTACCAATTCGTTCTCAATGACATTAGGAAAGTTTAACTGAGAAAATTATTCTGGGCATTCCAGGCAGAGGGCATAAATAGCAAGCATAAAGTTCCGAAGCCACCCGTGAACTCAGCATGCTCAGGGTTAGGAAGAACAGTGTGCCTGGTACACTGGTGAGGAAGAATCATGGGAAGTGAGCTTAGGCAGATTGGCTGGTCCTTGTAAGTCAGGATAAGAAACATGGGCTTTATTTGAGCCATGATGGAAACCATGAGAAAAGTTTAGGCAGTCCAATGGCATGAACAGATCTGCCTTTTAAAAATACCACTCCAGAAAATGGGTGCAAGGGAGGAAGCAGGAAAACTGATTAGAAGATACTGCAGTAATCCCGGCAAGTATCTGTCGGAGAGTGGTTCAGATCTTTTGGACAGTTTGGGGACTTTGAGCACAGCAAGCCCCTTCTTCAGCAAAAGAATAAATGTATTTAGTTGAACTGAAGAACTCAATACATATCAAAGATGTTTGTCTGGCACTCATTAGCCAGAACATTCCTTCACTCCCAAGCTCTGATAGGCTGCTCCCAGCGTGCCTTTGTTGTCAAGGAGTGAATGTCTTGGCTCAGCTCAGAAACCCTGAACAGGGGCCCTTGACCACAGCTGCTTGCTTCTGGGAACATGGTCAGTAAAATGAATGTCTAGATTTTCAGTTAATCAAATGAAACACCAGCTAGCCTTTTGGTTCAGTACTTCCCAAGTAAGTTCCTGCCAAATCCAGTCAATGTTGTGAGCTGTTAAATAGGCTTCGACAGCTGCCTGGCCTGGGAGACACTTGTGATGGTAAAGCTATTGACGGCTCACAGATGGGAGAGCTTTCAATATTAGCTGATCAAATGTGCCAGAAGAAAGAAAACAGCAAAATTGTCAAGAAATGGGTGCCTTCTGATTGGCACGGAAATGAGGCACCAGGGAATTGGAGCAGATGAATCTCACCCAAAGGCACATCCTAAAATGGATTGCAGATTGTTTCATTTTCCTTGCAGAACTAGTTCTCTTGATCTAATCTTAACCTATGATCCAGGCTTGACTGACTCCTTTAGATGCAGGAGCTCTTCCTACTGTGGGTGTTCCAGGAGCACCAGCCGTAGACAGGGAGCAACCTAGAGACCTTTCCACCATGATTCTGAAACAGATCCTGCCCACCACCAAGAAACTGACTTAGAGAATCTCGATTTGCGGAAAAACGGCCTTATATCTGTGTTCAGGCATGCATTCTCTCAAATGACAATTTTCTACTTTAACTAGAAATGTCAATTTGTTGGTCCAGTGTGTGTTGAGAACAAGGTTGGCAGAGGAAGGTCAGGGACACTGAAAAGAAGAGTAGATGAGATGAAATGCTGCTGTGAAGAATTGGAGAGGAAACTCACTGAGGTGTGTAAAAGGATTGTTTACTGAATAAGGTGGGAGAACACACACACACAGAAGCACAGTCTGCACTGTTGTTGGTTTCTCCAACAGCACTCTGCAGCTTTGCAGTAAAGGGAGTGAAGGCAGATGTCGTACAGAGCATGAGTACAAGTTTGGCAGAATAGCAGAGGAGAAAGACCCAAGTTCACGGTATTGACGGGCGACCATGTGCTTGGAGCAGTGAAGAAAGCAGCATAGGCTGGGATAGGAATGGATGTGAGATCAGGAAACAGCACATAGAATGTGATTTCTTTCACAGAATTCATGGAAGCAGAGAGCGAGCCGAGTGAGAATAAGAGGGAGGGAACCCAAAAGAGAAACAGTAGCCTTTTGACAAAGATGCATTCTCATTCAATCGGACACCATTACCTAAACTCTAACCTCTGAAAGGGTGATTCTCCTCCTTTTAGTCATTGAACAGTCAGAAAGTTGAAATCCTGCCCCCACCAGAGGGGTGATGCTATGTGTCTTATAGTCAGTTTGGGCCGAGATGACAAATCAATGCAATAGATTGAGTGGCTTATAAACAACAGAAACTTATTTCTCACAATTCTGAAAGGCTGGGTAGTCTGAGATCATGGTGCTGGCAGATTTGTTGTCAGTGAGAGCTCATTTGCTGTGCCCTCACATGGCAGAAGAAGGCCTAGGACACTCTCTGGGGTCCCTTTCATAAGGGTACTAATCTCATTCATAGGTTCTTCCAAAGATCCCAAAGATCCTACCTCCTAATACCATTATATTGGGGCTTATAGTCTTAACATGTGAGTTTTGGGAGGATACAAACATTCAGCCCATGCCACCATGCCAACATTTATTGAAAGCTTACTCTTTGGCAGTGGCCATGCTAAGAGGCTTTCACAAGCGTTCACAACTCAGTGGTGTGGGTTTTTTTAAGGGGGACTTTACATACCTTGCACAGTCACACATTACTGAGTGACAGAGCTGGGATTCACACTTGGGCAGAACACTGGCCAACCCCTTGTCCCCATGCTTAGCCATTATGCCGTACCATCATCTTCTCACTGGATGGAACAACTGGATATTGTTAACAAAAATTGTGATTTGAAAATTACTGTTGAACATGGAATGATTCATAGATAATTTATAAGGTTGGGAATATGGAAATCACATTAGTTGATTTATTGTTTTTCTTAACAACCTTTTGTTAAGCACCTACAATACAAAGCCCAGACCCTAACACAGTATAAAGTATGAATTAATGTTACCATCATCATGTGAAATACTGTATATTCAGCAGTTAGGAAAGAAATGTATTAGAATGTTACATATAAATATTTCAGAGTATTCTGTGTAACTCTGGACCTTACAACTGAGTTGGGATATAAAAGTTTGAGTAGTTATTCAGAAAGAGCCAAGGATATATACAACTTATTGACATACAGATACTGAAATAAAATTCAAAATTTGTGTCCTAAGTTTAATAAAAGAAGAAACCAAGTAGTAGTCTCCATGCAATCTAAAGGATCTTTTTTTTTCTTTCTTTTTTGATGATTAGTGAGCAACCTGCTACAGTGGACCACAACAAATTCCTGAAGGAGGAAATGAGCAATTATCTATATCCATGAAAGGCACGTTGAGAGAACATATTCATGGGGACAAACTTAGGATAAATGCAAAGTATTTCTTGCCTATGGAAATTGTCAGAGATTAGAATGCCAGGGGATTGTGTGGGATCTTCCCCTTGAGTAATAAAGAGGAGACAGAAGACAGGCAGTTACCTCCTGAGTATCTTTCATTCTTAAGGTGTGGGTCATCTGTGTCAGATGGATTCTAAATGCCATCATCACCTGGACAATTTGGGTGATGAGCAGGTTTTGCCATTACCCAAATAACCACTGTCTGATGGAAGTGGGAGCTCCATGGTTGTCCCTAAATAGAAGAGGTAAAATACAGAGGGAGGAAAGTAGCTTTAAATAGAAAGCAAGAATGAGAAAGTTCTTGCCATCCTCAAGATGGACACTCATTTAAAGAAGTCTCCTGTACTTGTATTTCATTATCTATCTTTTAAATACAGATTTCCTTGGATTTATCATGGAGTTACATTCCTATAAACCCATAAATTGAAAATATCATAAGTCAAAAACACATTTAATACATCTAACCTACTGGACATCATAGCTTAACCTAGCCTACCTTAAATGTGCTCAGAACACTTACATTAGCCTACCACCGGGCAAAATAAAGTCTAACACAAAGTCTATTTTATTATAAAGTGTTACATATCTCATGTAATTTATTGCATACTGAACTGAAACTGAAAAAAGTTCAGTATGGGTACAGAATCATTGTAGGTGTTATTGGTTGTTTACCCTCATGACCACCTGGCTGACTGAAAACTGCAGCCTGACTTGCTGATTCAAAATTCGAAGCGCAGTTTCTACTTAACGCATATTGCTTTTCCACCATGATAACGTCAAAAAATCATTAAGCCGAAAGGTTGTGAGTTGGGGACTGTCTGCAATATGCTCAAGTAAGAATGACATGGTAGTGAAAACATCAGGTAAAGTATACTTTAGTCTGAAGCTTAAAGAACAGCTCACATTTTTTTATATAAGTTTTATATGTCGTGTGATAGGAACACAGTTGAGAGTTGGGTAATTATCGTTATTTAGAAGCTCTTCTGCTTGACATATCTCATTAACTCTGCTAGTAAAGTATCACTTCAAATGAGAACATGTTTATGTTGAATATTTTTAAATGGACAGTGTAGGGTGGGGGTTGCATTTGGTGAAGTGGAAAAATTAAAAGTTAAGGGTCATACTTTGAGGATGAAAATAATTTTTGTTTCTGATGTTGTTAAAAAGGAAGAAAAGGGTTTTGATCAAATTGAAATAAAATTTTAGAACTCTGAATGTTTGGAGACAGTAATATCAACAAATAATATTTGTACTTTCAGTGGACTATCTTATTATAAGATTGCATAAGTCACATATATAGCAAAATGAATAAACCAGAAGTCATTTTATTCTAAATAGTTGTAACAATACTTTTCTGATAGGGGTGCCTGGGTGGCTGGTTGGCTAAGTGTCCTACTCTTGATTTCATCTCAGGTCATGATCTCATGGTTCATAAGTTCAGGCCCCTCATTGGGCTCTGTGCTGACAGTATGGAGCCTGCTTAGGACTCTCTCTCTTTCTCTCTCTCTCTCTCTCTCTCACTCACTCTCGCTCTCGCTCTCTCTACCCCTACCTGACTTGTGTGAGCATGCATGCACTCTCTCTTTCTCAAAACAAATAAATAAACTTACAAAAAAAAATAAGGAATACTTTCCTGGTAGATACCTAGCCATTGTTATCTAAGAAATGAACACATGCATTCTTCAAAAATGTACTCAACAGTTTTGAATCTATGCCATACCTCTAGTCACACTCCATGCCTTCATTTTATGTAATATTTCTTGATGTTTCCCCCAGTTGTTATTTCCAGGCCTTTCTGTTATTGTTCTTTGCTGCACTCTTAGTGAAGAACATTCTGGAATATTACAACCATTTAGGAAAAATAGACTCCTAATGGAGAACATAAAAACAAACCAAACAAAAAGAAATCCCACATAATTCCAGATGACAAACCAGGGAAGTTTTCTGATAATAAAAGATGGAGACTTGACTTTACCTCACAGACCTTCATTTTATGCTTGGAACCCACTCCTCACCCTGACACCTTTAGTTACATGAATATGTGGTGAAAACACCTTTCTAAATTAGAAAAATTCAAGATTTGAGGACTTCACAGAATAAATTACTCTGGAAAAGTTAAAACTTGTTTCTTTAATGGAAGATGAAATTGAAATTTTGCAAATTAAATTTTCTTGAAGAAAATAGTTGCCTTCCCCTCCACCAAATCTACCTTCTTATACACCTAGAGTCTTACGAAAAAATACAAATTATGGGGGCACCTGGCTGGCTCAGCAGTTCGAGTGTCGGGCTTCAGCTCAGTCATGATCTCATGGGTTTTGAGTTTGAGCCCTGCATCAGGTTCTCTGCTGTCAGCACAGAGCCGGCTTTGCATCTTCTGGCCTCCTCTCTCTCTGTCCCTTCCCTGCTCGCTTGCACTATCCCTCTCACTCTCTCTCTCTCTCTCTCTCAAAAATAAATAAAACATTTCAAAAAATGCAAATTATGAAATCATTTAAGCCCTACTGGATCAGAATTGGAGTGGGGGGAGAAGGAGTGTTGTCGCCAATCAGTATTTTTTAATTCAAGTATAATTGACATATAGGGTTATATTTGTTTCACTTGTATAATATGATTCAACAGTTCAGTACATGACTCACTGTTCATCATGATAAGTGTACTATGAATCCCCCTGGGAACCACTAGCATGTCCTCTATATTTAAAAGTCCTATTCTGTTGGTCTCTTTTTTTCTTTTCTTTACTTTTTTTTTAATTCTACGTATGAGTAAAATCACATAGTATTTGTCTTTCTTTGACTAACTTATTTCATCACCATTATACCCTCTAGATCCATCCATGTTGTTGTAAATGGCAAGGTTTCATTCTTTTCTTGTGGCTGAAAAATATTCCATCATACACACACACACACACACACACACACACCACCATCTTCTTTACCCACTCATACCCACTCATCTATGCACGGACGCTTGGGCTACTTCTGTATCTTGGCTATTGTAAACATAGGGATATATACATACGTATACGTATATATATATATATATATATATATATATATATTTGAATTAGCATTTTCATTTTCTTTGGGTAAATGCACCACAGTGGTGTTACTAGAGCCTATGGTAATTCTATTTTTAATTTTTTGAGGAACCTCCATACTGTGTTCCACAGTAGCTACACTAGTTTGCATTCTCACCAACAGTGCATGAGGGTTCCTTCTTTTCCCACACCCTTGCCAACACACTTATTTTTTGTGTTGTTGATTTTAGCCATTCTGATGGGTGCGAGGTGATATCTCATTGTTTTAATTTGCATTTCCATAATGATGACTGGTGTTGGCCAGAGTGTCTTTTGGCCATCTGTATGTCTTCACTGGAAAAATATCTGTTGATGTCCTCTGCCCATTTTGAATTGGACGGTGATGAGGAGGATGAAGATGATGATGATGATTTTGGTGTTGAGTTGATTAAGTTGTATATTTTGATATTCATTCCTTATCCAATATATCATTTGAAAATATCTCTCCCATTCAGTAGGTTGCCTTTTTTTTTATTTATTTATTTTTTTTTTTTCAGTATATGAAATTTATTGTCAAATTGGTTTCCATACAACACCCAGTGCTCATCCCAAAAGGTGCCCTCCTCAATACCCCTCACCCACCCTCTCCTCCCTCCCACCCCCCATCAACCCTCAGTTTGTTCTCAGTTTTTAGGAGTCTCTTATGCTTTGGCTCTCTCCCACTCTAACCTCTTTTTTTTTTCCTTCCCCTCCCCCATGGGTTTCTGTTAAGTTTCTCAGGATCCACCTAAGAGTGAAAACATATGGTATCTGTCTTTCTCTGTATGGCTTATTTCACTTAGCATCGCACTTTCCAGTTCCATCCAGTTGCTACAAAGGGCCATATTTCATTCTTTCTCATTGCCATGCAGTACTCCATTGTGTATATAAACCACAATTTCTTTATCCATTCATCAGTTGATGAACATTTAGGCTCTTTCCATAATTTGGCTATTGTTGAGAGTGTTGCTATAAACATTGGGGTCCAAGTGCCCCTATGCATCAGTACTCCTGTATCCCTTGGGTAAATTCCTAGCAGTGCTATTGCTGGGTCATAGGGTAGGTGTATTTTTAATTTTCTGAGGAACCTCCACACTGTTTTCCAGAGTGGCTGCACCAGTTTGCATTCCCACCAACAGTGCAAGAGGGTTCCCGTTTCTCCACATCCTCTCCAGCATCTATAGTCTCCTGATTTGTTCATTTTGGCCACTCTGACTGGTGTGAGGTGATATCTGAATGTGGTTTTGATTTGTATTTCCCTGATGAGGAGCAACGTTGAGCATCTTTTCATCTGCCTGTTGGCCATCCGGATGTCTTCTTTAGAGAAGTGTCTATTCATGTTTTCTGTCCATTTCTTCACTGGGTTATTTGTTTTTCGGGTGTGGAGTTTGGTGAGCTCTTTATAGATTTTGGATACTAGCCCTTTGTCCGATATGTCATTTGCAAATATCTTTTCCCATTCTGTTGGTTGCCTTTTAGTTTTGTTGGTTGTTTCCTTTGCTGTGCAGAAGCTTTTTATCTTCATAAGGTCCCAGTGATTCATTTTTGCTTTTAATTCCCTTGCCTTTGGGGATGTGTCGAGTAAGAGATTGCTGAGGTCACAGAGGTCTTTTCCTGCTTTCTCCTCTAGGGTTTTGATGGTTTCCTGTCTCACATTCAGGTCCTTTATCCATTTTGAGTTTATTTTTGTGAATGGTGTGAGAAAGTGGTCTAATTTCAACCTTCTACATGTTGCTGTCCAGTTCTCCCAGCACCATTTGTTAAAGAGACTGTCTTTTTTCCATTGGATGTTCTTTCCTGCTTTGTCAAAGATGAGTTGGCCATACATTTGTGGGTCTAGTTCTGGGGTTTCTATTCTATTCCATTGGTCTATGTGTCTGTTTTTGTGCCGATACCATGCTGTCTTGATGATGACAGCTTTGTAGTAGAGGCTAAAGTCTGGGATTGTGATGCCTCCTGCTTTGGTCTTCTTCTTCAAAATTACTTTGGGTATTCGGGGCCTTTGTGGTTCCATGCAA